ACGTTGATATCCAGTTATGCCAGCACCATTTGTTGAAGATGCTTTCTTAATTCCATTGTGCACGTTTGGAGGCCCACAGAAATCCACAAAGATGCCCCCACAATAGACTGCTGGCAATGGTCGACAGACAGCCTGAATTGACCTACTCTGGTGATAGAATGGCCAAACACCCTAATTGTTAGCTAGAAACCCCATCCAGTGACTGAGGGAACTGGATACAGAGATCCACAGCCAGGCCCTGGGTGGAGCTCTGGGAGTCCAATTGGCAAGAAAGAGGAGGGTTTAAATGAGTGAGAATTGTTGAAACTAGGTTGGATAAAGCACAGGGACAAGTAGCCAAACAAATGGAAACACATGAACTATGAACCAATGGCTGAGGGGCCCCCAACTGCATCAGGCCCTCTGAATAGGTGAGACAGTTGATTGGCTTGATCTGTTTGGAAGGCATCCAGGCAGTGGGATCAGGTCCTGTGCTCAGTGCATGAGTTGGCTGTTTGATACCTGGGTCTTATGCAAGGGTGCTTGGCTCAGCCTGGGAGGAGGGGACTGGACCTCCCTGGACTGAGTCTACGGGTTGATCTCAATCCTCAGGGAGTCTTTGCCCTGGAGGAGATGGGAATGGGAGGTGGCCTGGGGGGAAGGGGAGGAGGGCAGGAGAAGGGAGAACAAGGGAATTCGTGGCTGATATGTAGAATTAAGTTATATTGTAAAATAAAATTAAATTAAATAAAAAAAAGATGAGACCTCATGAGACTGAGAAACTTCTGTAAGATGAGGGATGCAGTCTATAGGACAAAATGGCAGCCTACAGAATAGAAAAACATCTTCATCAAACCCACATCCAACGAAGGGCTGATTTCCAAAATATATAAAGAATTCAAGAATCTATACCTCAAAAAAAAAACAAACAAACAAATAATCCAATTTTCAAAAAATGGTGTACAGCTCTAAACAGATGATTCTCAATGTAAGATCCTTCACTGGCCAGGAAACACTTAAAATACTGAAAACAAAGACAGGAACTACTGTTGTTTATAGAAAAATTGACAAGAAATGATTATCAATCATAAACAATGTACTTGTTTAATAAAATATTAAATAAGTATCCAAAGAAATAAATTAAATAAGACTGTTAGAAAATATTTTGCTTTTATTAATGTTCTATATTTATATATGAATGTCAAACTAAAATAGGTATATTATTTATTCATTTTTCCTATTAGTATACTAAATGTTAACATCTGTATTTTTGTAACTAAAAACATGGGAAGAGAAATTCTTGAGGAGATTTTTTTGCGTTTAATGAGAACTTTCAAAAGAGCAATAAATGATAGTATACTTTAAATTATTTATTCCAATAACAATTCAACTTTAAGGAAAATCATTAACAGAGAAAAATTGAATTTTTGTCTTTATTCCAAAGAGAAATTATTTAAGATTGTTCTTGTCAATTGTAAAGTGATGACATAAAATATTTTCAATCTGAATATTCATCTTAACATTATTAACCATAAAATGTCAAGAAAAGAAAATATCCTCCTAGGAAAAATGTCTTTTGAAATTACATCAACAATATCTGGGAAATAAAACAAAAATATGAGTCTGAAAACAAATTATTTTTAAAAGTCTCTATGTCTTTATATTTTAACAAAATATGTATTTTGAAGTTAGGGATGTAAATTAAAACAAAGCATTCACAGAGCATGCATGAAGACCTGATTTTAGATCTTTGGCTCCCTCTTTCAGGCCAGTGAGGGTGGTAGTTTACCTGCTTGAGGAGCAGAGAATGTTGAACCTCGTCACATGCTGGATAGGTAGACTAGGCATGAAGAAAATGTACAAGTTAACTTAGAGAATCAGTCTCGATGGCTAGAAAACTCAAGGAAGAAAATTAACATCTGTGTAAGGGAGGACACAGTGAAACCACTCAACTGGACCATTTAGTGAGTAGAAAGAAAGGTTTATTGGGGATCAAACTGCCAAGGCTCTTTCCAAAAAGTAAACAGATTATATATTACAGTCAGCAGGATGTGAATATTTGAGCAGATACAGGCTGTTTGGATTGACCTGAACTGAATGCCTTTGCATCTGGAAATAAGAAACCAATATTAGTTAACTAGACACCTGTAGCTAGAGTTTTCCTGCCTTGCCCACAGTCAGGACAAATCTTTGTCACCCGCCAGTCCCACAGCCACTCAGACCTAACCAAGTAAACACAGAGACTTATATTGCTTACAAACTGTATGGCCATGGCAGGCTTCTTGCTAACTGTTCTTATAGCTTAAATTAATCCATTTCCATAAATCTATGCCTTGCCATGTGGCTGGTGGCTTACCGGCGTCTTCACATGCTGCTGGTCATGGCAGCGGCTGGCAGTGTCTCTTTCCTCAGCCTTCCACTTCCCAGAATTCTCCTCTCTCCTTGTCCCACCTACTTCCTGCCTGGCCACTGGCCAATCAGTATTTTATTTATTGACCAATCAGAGCAATTTGACATACAGACCATCCCATAGCAGACACCAATTCAACTTGTAGTTGTTTCTTCTAACTATTCAGTAACACAGATTATCATAACTCTAAAGTCCTAGACTGAGCAGTCACCTTTTTCTCTCTGTAAACAAACACAGTTCCATTTATTCATTACCTGGTCATATTTTCTGTGTCTATTTCCAAGAAATAATTAAGGCATATTTTAATCATCTATTACTTTATTTGCTTCTGTAACTTCAAATTTGAAACAGTACATATTAATAGAGCTAAACTATATCTATGTTTTGTATAATCAAACTGAGTAATATCTTTCAGAATTCAACATTTCGGGACATACTATGAAAGACACAGAATATCCTGGAAAGTATTCCTTAATAATGTCACAATTTCAGCAGAAAATATTTGAATATTCACATGACATGAGATTCATGAACTGTATTAATTATCTCAAGTCAAGTCTTCCCACATGCTGTGGGTAAGGTAATGCTTTGTGCTCAGATAAAGTTAATAAAACAATTTGTCTTTCAGTGTTCTCCAAGGGCCTGAAGTAATTCTGTGTAATTGTTATTCACAATTCCCTGAAATTTGCCACTGTTCAGTGTTATGGTTTCAGTTTGCTCATCACTCCATTTAAAAGTGAATTAGGTCTCTTTGTCTCTAGTCATGATCCTTTACCAAGTAATGAGTCAATTTTCATCATGACTTTGAAAGGCTGGAAAGAATGATAGATTTAGTACATACTTGACTTGAGATTATCCCTCTATTTTTTTTATCATTTTCATTAGATGTGTCTCTGGGAGCTATAAGGATGAGAAGGCAAAAAAGCTTATATGAGCCAGAGGTGATGGAAGACTCCAAGGAAATGGTGTTCTGCAGACATCATAGGACTGGTACACCATATGAACTCCCAAAGACTGTAGCAGCACACAAAGGGTCTACACAAATTCAAGGCAGATGGTGTTCCTGCACTGAGAGGAAAAAGTGAACATGGGCTCCTACCCCTAATCAAGAAGCTATGTGCAATTGGTACATTCTTGCAAATAAAATAATTAGTTTTGGCAGCTGCAGTTGCAAGCTATCAGACAAGACTCCTGCAGACCTGCCCCCCCCCCAATTGGACCCTGTAATCTATAAGCCCTAATCATCATCCAGACCAACCCATTCCCCAAGACCCCAGCAACTCACTGAGACTCAGACTCCTCCACCTCTGATTGGACAAAGAGGTAAGTGACATTTCTCTCAGCAGGTCATATTAGTCTCTAGGCGCTGGACCCTAGAGCATAATCCATGCCCTCTACCCCATCCATTGCAGCCCTAGTTTCAGGCCAGCAGGCAAGACTCCTGCAGACCGGCCTGTCCAACAACATCCCGCATAAGACCATGTAATTTACAAGCTCCACTCTACTCCCCAAACCTACCTATCTCCTGAGACCTCAGCATCTCCCCAAAACACAGACTCTGCCAGCTCAGATTAGAGCAAGAGGTGAGTGACTGCTCTCTCTATGAGTCACACAAGTTTCTAGGCCCTAGACCCTGAGGCATAACCCATGCCCTCCTACCCGAAACAATGCAGCCCAAGTTGCAGGTCAGAAGGCAAGAATCCTCCAGCAAGGCCTGCCTACCACCATTCCCCATTGAAACCTGTAATCTACAATCCCCACTCCTGCACCAAAACCTACCCATCCCCAGAGACTGCAGCTACTTCCTGAGACACAGACTCTGACAGCTCCTATTGGACTGAGAGTGCCAACTGGACCAAAAGCAGCTCCCTGAGACACAAACACCATTTGCACAGGTTGGAGGAAAAGATAGGTAGATGTCAGTGCAAGAATACATTCAACAACATTAAGAGCAGTATGGCACCACCAGACCTACTGGTTCTACAACAGCAAGACAAGAACACACCACCATAGAAGAAGGAGAAGAAAAGAACTTTAAAAATCACTTTATGCAGGTGATGGAGGCCTTTAAAGAGGAAATGAAAAATTCACTTAAAGAAATCAAGGAAAAGACAAACAAAAACAATGAAGAAATGAATAAATCCTTTAAAAAGAAAGTTGAGAAAAAGCAAACAAACAGGAGAGGGAAATAGTTCAAGACTTGAGAATTGAAATAGAGGCAATAAAGAAGACACAAACTGAGGGAATTCTGGAAATGGAAAAATCTGAGTAAATGAACAGGAACTATAGATGCAAGCATAACCAATAGAATATAAGAGATGGAAGACAGAATCACTGGCATTGAAGTTAAGATAGAGGGAAGAGATTTGTCGGTCATAAAAAATATTAAAGCCAACAAAGTCATAACATAAAATGTCCAGAAAATTTAGAACACAATTAAAAGTCCAAACCTAAGAATAATATGGATAGAAGAAGGAGAAAAATACCAGCACAGAAAATATATTCAACAAAATCACAGAAGAAAACTTTCCCAGCGTAAAGAAGGAAATGCCTATGAAGACACAAGAAGTTTACAGAACACCAAATAAACTGGAACCCCCCAAAGCCACCTCACCACATAATAATCTAACCACTAAATATACTGAATAAATAAAGAATATAAATAGCTGCAATGAAAAAAGGGCCAAGTAACATATAAAGGCAGACCCATCAGTATAATGCCTGATTTCCCAGTGGAGACTCTGAAAACCAGAAGGTCCTCAACAGACATTGTTCACACACTAAGAGATCACAGATGCCAGCCCACACTACTAAACTCAGCAAAACTCACAATCACCACAGATGAAGTAAACAAGATATTCCATGACAAAACCAGATTTAGATAGTAAATATCCACAATCCAGCCTTACTGAAAGCACTAGAAGGAAAAAACCAACCTAAGGAAGTTAGCTGCACCCAAGAAAGTACAGGCAAAAGATAATTCCACACTAGCAAATACCAAATAAGGGAAACACATACACACACTACCACCAAAAAAAAAAAAACATAAATTAACAATCACTGGTCATTAATATCCATTGATAGCAAAAAAAACTCGATTCACTTATAAAAAGACACAGGCTAACAGAATGGATATTAAAACAGGATCCATCCTTCTGCTGCATACAAGAAACACACCTCAACTTTAAAGCCAGACATGGCTTAAGAGTAAAGGGTTGGGAAAAGACTTTCCAATCAAATGGACTTAAGAAACAAGTGGTGTAACAAACCTAATAGCTATCAAAATACAGTTCAAACTAAGATTTCTCAAAAGAGATCAGGAAGAACTATATATACTCATCACAGAAAAAATCCATCAAGATGAACTCTCAGTTTTGAATATTTATGCCCCAAACACAATAGCAACCACATATGTAAAAGAAACAATACTAAAGTCTAAATTGCACATCAAAGCACACACTAATAGTGGAAGACTCCAACATCCCACTAACACCAATGGACAGGCCTACCAGACAGAAAATTAACAGAGAAATTAGTTATGACTCAAATGGACTTGATAGACATTTACAGAACATTCCATCAAAACATAAAAGAATATACTTTCTTCTCATCACCTCATGGAACCTTCTCAAAAATTGACCACATACTTGGTCACAAAACAAATCTCAACACATAGAAAAAACCCTCTTGTGTTTTATGGGACCACCATGTCTTAAACTTAGAATTCAACCACAACAAAAATGACAGAAAGCCTACAAATTCATGGAAAGTAAATAATGTGCAACTGAATCACCAATAGGTCAAGGAACAAATAAAGAAATTAAAGACTTCCTAGAATTCAATCAAAATGAATGCACAACACACACAAACTTATAGGACACCAAGAAAAGTACTAAGAGGACAGTCCATAGCTCAAAATGCCTACATAAAGAAGTTAGAGAAATCTCACACTAGTGACTTAACTGCACACTTGAAAGCTCTAAAACAAAAAGAAGCAAACTCACCCAGGAGGAATTGACACCAGGAAATAATTAAATTGAGGGCTAAAATCAATAAAATAGAAACAAAGAGAACAGTACAAAGAATCAATGAAACAAATAATTGGTTCTTTGAGAAAATCAACAAGATAGACAAACCTCTATCCAAACTAACCAAAAGGCAGAAAGAGATTATGCACATTAACAAAATCAGAAACAAAAATAGGGGACATAAAAATAGACAATGAAAAAATCGAAAGAATCAGCAGGTAATATCTCAAAAACCTGTACTTCGCAAAATTGGAAAATCTAAAAGAAATGAACAATTTCCTGGATAGGTACCATATACCCAAATTAAGTCAAGACCAGATAAACAATTTAAGTAGACCTATAACACAGAAATAGAAGCAGTCATTTAAAAGTCTCCCAACCAAAATAATCCCAGGACCAGATGATTTTAGCACAGAATTCTACTAGAACTTCAAAGAAGAACTGATACCAATACCCCTCAAATTGTTTCACACAATTGAAACAGAAGGAACATTGCCAAACACTTTCTATGAAGCTACAGTTATTCTGACACCCAAACCACACAAAAGTGCAACAAAGAAAGAGAATTACAGACCAATCTCCCTCATGAACATTGATGTAAAAATACTCAATAAAATACTGGCAAAAGAATCCAAGAACACATCAAAAAATCATCCACCATGATCAAGGAGGCTTTATCCTAGAGATGCAGGAATGGTTCAAAATTCAAAAATCTGTCAATGTAATCCTCCATATAAACAAACTGAAATAAAAAAAACATGATCTCATTAGATAGTGAAATGCCTTTGAAAAAATCCAACATACCTTCATGATAAGGGACTTGGATAGATCAGGAACACAAGTAGCATACCACACCATAATATAGGCAATTATAGCAAGCTAACAGCCAACATCATATTAAATGAAGAGAAACTCAAAGCAATTCCACTAAAATCAGGAACAAGAGTGTCCACTCTCCCCATATTTATTTAATATAGTACTTGAAATTCTAGCCAAAGCAATAAGACAACAAAAGGAGATCAAGGGAATACAAATTGGAAAGGAAGAAGTCCTTTCACTATTTGCATATGATATAATAGTTTACATAAGTAACTCCAAAAATTCTGTCAGGGAATTCCTACAGCTGATAAATACCTTCAGTAATGTGGCAGGATATAATATTAACTAAAAAAAAAATCACTAGCCTATCTACACATGATAAATGGGCCAAGAAAGAAATCAGAGAAACATCACTCTTTACAATAGCCACAAATAATATAAAATATATTGGGATAACTCTAACCAAACAAGTGAAAGACCTGTATGACAAGAACTTTAAGTCTCTGAAGAAAGAAATTGAAGAAGATGTCAGAAAATGGAAAGATTCGCCATGCTCACGAATAGGTAGGATTAACAAAGTAAAAATGGCAATCTTACCATAAGCAATCTACAGATTCAATGCAATCTCCATCAAAATCCCAAATCCCATCACAATTTTTCATAGACCTTGAAAGAACCGGTATTCAACTTCATATGGAAAAACAAAAAACCCAGGATACCTAAGAGAATCCTGTACGATAAAGGAACTTCTGGAGGAATCACCATCCCTGACTTCAAGCCCTGCTATAGAGCTATAGTAATAAAAACAGTCTGGTATGGGCATAAAAATAAACACATGGGCCAATGGAATGAAATTGAAGAACTTGATATAAAGTCACACACCTATGAACACCTGGGTTTTGACAAAGAAGCCAAAACTGTACAGTGGAAAAAAGAAAATATCTTCAACAATTGGTGTTGGCATAATTGGTTGTCAACATGTACAAGATAGCAAAAAGGTCCATATCTATCTCCATGCAAAAAACTCAAATCCAAGTGAATCAAAGACATCAACATAAATCCAGTTACACTGAACCTGATGGAAGAGAAAATGGGAAGTATCCTTGAATGAATTGGCACAGGATAGCACTTCCTAAATATAACACCAATAGCACAGATACTAAGAGCAACAATTAATAAACAGGACCTCCTGAAACTGAAAACCTTTTTTTTAAGGCAAAGGGCATGGTAAATAAGAAGAAAAAAAAAACAGCCTATGGAATGGGAGAATGGGAAAAGACCTTCCCCCACCCCACATCTGAAAGAGGGCTGATA